GTGAGAATAATTCTTCAAATCATCTCTGAGGCAGAGACAAACCTGCATGGGAAAACCAAGGTTGAGGGAACTAATCTTTTAACTACGAGAAACAAGTACATAAAAATGTCTCTCCTCATGCTTCTGATCTTCAGTTTCCTCAGGTTACAGCATTAAAGTGAGCACTACGACATTGAGAACAAAAACAAATACACTTTTTGCCAGAAATGTTCAAAGCCTATATAAAGAACAATTTTAATAGACGTATAGATGTCATTATAACATGCTGTAAATAATGACTTTTAGAAATTATCCAAACTTGGCCTGGCATGGTGGCTCACACCTGTAATCCCAGAACTTTCAGAAGCTTAGGCAGATGGATTACCTGAGGTCAGGAGTTTGAGACCAGCCTGACCAACATGGTGAAACCCTGTCTCTACTAAAAATACAAAACTTAGCCAGGCATAATGGCACATGCTTGTAATCTCAGCTACTTGGGTGGCTGAGACAAGAGAATGGCTTGAACCTGGGAGACGGAGGTTGCAGTTAGCTAAGATCACACCACTGCACACCAGCATAAGCAACAAGAGCGAAAGTTCGTCTCAATAAATAAATAAATAAATAAATAAATAAATAAAATCAATCAATCAATCATCTAAACGTATTACTACAGTACAAAGCAAACCTAAAAGTTTTATGCAATATGCTGCTGGGTTATCTCAAATACTCTGTAAATAATTAAGATATATGTAAATATTAACATATCAAAAGGAGAAAAACAGCAAATGAGAATTAGGATACAGGATCAGGATGGGTCATCAGGTTTGTGAATTTAGATGATGTAAATGATTTTTGAATTATTTTTTGAATTTCTAGGTAATTCTGAAGCATAAACTCTGCCATCAAGTGGCTAGGTAGTCTTGGACATGTCACTTAAGCTTTTCAGGCTTTACTTTTCTTATCTATAAAATGAGACAGTTAGACAGTTACTTAGGACCCTCTATGTTCTAAGGGTTATATCAGAGGTATAAATGATGTGTCAGCGATGACTTTAAATAGTACATACTGGCTGGGTGCGGTGGCTCATGCCTGTAATCCCAACACTTTGGGAGGCCGAGGCAGGCAGATCATCTGAGGTCAGGAGTTCGAGACCAGCCTGGCCAACCTGGCAAAACCCTGTCTCTACTAAAAATATAAAAATCAGCCGGGCATGGTGGCACGAGCCTGTAGTCCCAGCTACTTGGGAGGCTGAGGCACGAGAATTGCTTGAACCAGGGAGGCGGAGGTTGTGGTGAGCCGAAATTGTGCCACTGCACTCCAGCCTGGGCAACAGAGTGAGACTCTGTCTCAAAATAAATAAATAAATAAATAAATAAGTACCATGTGTTACTGAATGAAGTGTTTTTAAAGCAGAATTAAAGCTTTTGCCTCTATTTTAGAGGCAAAAGTCCTTTAAATAGAATTCTTAAAAATAGTCTATGGCTGTCCTCTCTTATTAGTAATATAGTAAAGATAAGAAATAAACCAAATATAAAGAGTTTTTATTTTAAACTAATTTATAAGATCTCCCCCAACAAATATTCATTTACTCAGAAAGAAGGAAATATATAAAAATACGATATTTATGTACATTTGACTGAACATTGTAATTTATTTTTTTAGAGAGATGAGGAGTTACTTCAGGCTTGAACTCCTAGGCCCAAGAGATCCTCCTGCCTCAGTCTCCCAAGTACCTTGGAATACGTGCATCTGCTACCATCCACCCGACTAATTTATACAATTTTTTTTTTTGTAGAGGCAGGGTCTCGGTATGTTGCTAAGGCTGGTCTAGAACTCTTGGGTTCAAGCAAGCCTCCTGTGTCTGCCTTCCAGTATCTGGGATTACAGGTACAAGCCACTGCACCCGATTCCCAAACATTGTAAATGTTTACAGTTAATGTGTAAGCCCATGGCTCTCACGGCATTAAGAAATTGACTCAAGGGAATAATAGGCAACATATTAGGCATTTGTGAATTCATGGCATTAAATGCAATACTTATAATGCATAAAACCATTTTTTTTTTTTTTTTTTTTTTTTTTTTTTTTTTTTGAGATGGAGTTTTGCTCTTGTTGCCCAGGCTGGAGTGCAATGGTGAGATCTCGGCTGACCGCAACCTCTGCCTCCTGGGTTCAAGCAATTCTCCTGCCTCAGCCTCCCAAGTAGCTGGGATTACAGGCGCCTGCCACCATGCTTGGCTAGTTTTTTGTATTTTTTAGTAGATATGGGTTTTTACCATGTTGGCCAGGCTGGTCTCGATTCCTGACCTCAGGTGATTCATCCGCCTCGGCCTCCCAAAGTGCTGGTATTACAGGTGTGAACCACCACGCCCGGCACATAAAAACATTATAAAATGCCATAGAGATTTATGAGTGAAGTTGATCTAGTCACTATTTTGCCTCTGAAAAAGTAGCAAGGAAAATTCTACTATGTAACATCTTGCCAAAATCTTAAAAGTTCAGGAATGTGGCCAGGTGCAGTGGCTCACGCCTATAATCCTAGCACTTTGGGAGGGTGAGATGGGCAGATTTCTTGAGCCCAGGGGTTCAAGCCAGTCTGGGCAACATGGCAAATACCCATCTGTACAAAATATACAAAATTTAGCTGGGTGTGGTGGCACGGGCCTGTAGTCCCAGCTACTTGGGGAACTGAGGCAGAAGGACTGCTTGAGCCTGGGAGGTCAAGGCTGCAGTGAGCTGTGTTTGCACCACTGCTCTCCAGCCTGGGTGACAAAGGGAGACCTTGTTTCTTTTCATACAAACAGAGTGTCACTCTATTGTCCAGGCTTGTCTTGAACTCCTGGGCTCAAGCAATCTTCCTGCCTTGGCCTCCCAAAGTGCTGGGATTACAGGTGTGAGCCACTGTGTCCAGCCCCAATAATTAATGTCTCCTGACAACAAGTGGCAGCTTCTTTTGTTCTTTTTTATTATTATTTTTTAATTTGGTTTTTGTTGTTGCTCTTTTATTCTGAGCACCAGAAATTAGGATTTTAAAACTGCAACAAATTCCCTTACTTCTACATCCAGAAATATAATTAATTCATTCACTTAACAACTTAAAAAAACAGATACAATTCATGTACCATAAAAATTCACTCTTTTAAAGTATACAATTCACTGGTTTTTAGCATAGTCATAAGGAACAACTATTTATTGAATACCTACTATGTGCCAAGTTTCTATTCAACTTGATAGTCATGAACTAGAAGTCAGAGTTTTCAAATATGGAACAATATGAACATTCCTTATTTATGTTAGATAAACTAGGCAATGTTGAAATAATTCTTGGTTGATGATAAGGGATGAATGTAGCCAATATGAAAAATGAAATTTGCTTCTAGTGTTAAAAACAATGCCAAATACAGAGTCGAGAACTATTTCTTCTTTGGCACAGCCTGGCTTGCTCATGAAGTTAGATTAAATCTCTGGCATTGATTGGACAGATGTGGAGTAATTTATCACTAGTAGCACTTGAGATCATAAAGTTTTAGAGCTGGAAGACACCTCAGAGATCATCTACATCTTATACCTCCACTACACCAATCAGGGAACAAAAACCAGAAAAAGTTAATGACCAGCTACAAGTCTCAAACTCAGAACAAAGCTTTCAGATTCTTACCTGGTGCCTGCTCCTTATACCAGTTCCCAAACTCGATTTCTTAAGGACCCAGGATTCTGGGTGAAACCTACAGGGCTTCTAGGATAATGGACGGATGGCTGAGTGGAAGAGCCTCTGCATCCCAACCCAGCTTCAACTCTAGCATCGCTATGTTTACCTCTTTGGCTTCCTAAGATTCTAAGCAAATTTTTGTTTTAAAAATAGTTCCATTACTAAAAAATATATGAACATTTTTTGAAAATACTTTATGGCGTGATTTCACATTGTCCAAAGGAGGTATGTGCCTATTACTGCACATATGGTTTAAATATTATGCCTAGAAAACTGTGCAACACCACCTGAACATTTAACAGATTTCTTAGTAAATGGTATGTGTTTTAAGAAGTGCTCCTCTTTTTCATGCTCGTAGAATTTTAGAAAGTAGATTGTGCATGCTTGAAAGAAAACAAAGCGGCCGGGCGCGGTGGCTCACACCTGTAATCCCAGCACTTTGGGAGGCCAAGGAAGGTGGATAATGAGGTCAGGAGATCGAGACCATCCTGGCTAACAAGGTGAAACTCCGTCTCTACTAAAAATATAAAAATTAGCTGGGCATGGTGGTGGGTGCCTGTAGTTCCAGCTACTCGGGAGGCTGAGGCAGGAGAATGGCGTGAACCCGGGAGGTGGAGCTTGCAGTGAGCCAAGACTGTGCCACTGCACTCCAGCCTGGGCAACAGAGCGAGACTCCATCTCAAAAAAAAAAAGAAAGAAAACAAAGCATTTTTACTTACCTCAAATTCAGTTACTGAAATTGCAGGAAAAAAATGATTTGGGTAGATGATTGTACTTATTAATGGAATATAAAAGTATGTACATTCAAAAACATTTTTCCATATTATCAATGGAAAATAGAGAAGCATCATCCCTAGAATCCTTGTTTCCAAAATGTTGATCCCATTATCTGATTAGAAAACTAGACAATTCCCCACCCCAGGGTGTGCTTAACCCTCCTCTTGGTTATCTCCAGGGGCCCTCCAACCCAACCCTGGTCCTTCTTGGAATTCTTCTCTTCAGGAGGCCCAGGCGACCACTACCAAACAAAGGGCAAAGGGAGATGTTGCCATGCTTCTGGGAGTCCAGGCAGTCAGTGAAGGACAGACAGGATGTTCACCACCTGCAGACCCAGATATGGTGCTAGTGGATCAGCACAGGGGCATGATGACTGGACTTGGCCAAATCCTGGCTTGAAGAGCTGGGTCTGCAGGCATCTCTGCAAGAAAGCCTCAATCTTCAGGCCTAGGTTGCAATGTAGTTTCATTCTGTCCCTGTGCTGCACTCTGATGTGAATAAGTCACTGCAGCAGGGCACTGCCTTCAAACAGACGCCATGGGTCCTTCTCAACAAACATCAGCAGCTCCTGGGCAGCTCTGCAGACTTGTCCAGGGTAAATTTGACTCTCCAGATGTCACATTTGCTCTGGAGGCCACACTTACCTATCAGCTTTAGTACTTGGTTGAGGGGGGATTTCTCAAAGGGTCTCCCTGTGATCACACAGGTTTTCCGACCCAGCTTGGGACCACTAGTGTGTTGACTCTGGGTGTCCATCTATGCCTCACCTAAGGGTAGGTCCTGGTTACTGCAAAAGGGGTTAGAAAAATTCATTAAAAAAAATAAAATACACCACATGTGGTGGTTCAGCCTGTAATCCCTTTGGGAGGGCAAGGCAGAAGGATTGCTTGAGCCCAGGAGTTCAAGGCTGCAGTAAGCTATGATCACATCACTGTACTCCAGCCTGGGTGACACAGTGAGGTCCTGCGTCTTAAAAAATGTAACAAAATAAAATGTTTAAAGTCAAATTATGTCAAAAAATAAAGATGCTTTGCTAAGTATTGTATTCAAATACATATTCTAGTACTCACTATACAACATCATCTAAATCAGTATTAACAGTACAAAGTTATATGTCATGTCATTATATAACATTTATATTATGCTTTATTGTATAAATAATTTTCATTTTGGGGGTGTTGAATTTGTGCTTTCTTCATGAAATTAAAGAATGCCATTGAATGATGTCATAAAATGGGTTTGGTTGTAAAATATTTTTATTACTGGTGTTCAATTTGTGAAATACATGATTAATCTCATGGCATATCCATTTGGAAAGCCAAATGATCCACTTCAGTTTGTGTGATACTTAATACTGAGTGTCAACTTGATTGGGTTGAAGGATACAAAGTATTGATCCTGTGTGTGTCTGTGAGGGTGTTGCCAAAGGAGATTAACATTTGAGTCTGTGGGCTGGGAAAGGCAGACCTATTCTTAACCTGGGTGGGCACTATCTAATCAGCTGCCAACAGGACTAGAATAAAAAAGCAGGCAGAAAAATGTGAAAAGCTGAGACTGGCCTAGCCTCCCAGCCTACATCTTTCTCCCATGCTGGATGTTTCCTGCCCTCGAACATGGGACTCCAAGTTCTTCAGTTTTGGGACTCGGACTGGTCCTTGATCGTCAGCCTGCAGACGGCCTATTGTGGGAACTTGTGATCATGTGAGTTAATACTTAATAAATTCCTACATATATATCCTATTAGTTCCGTCCCTCTAGAGAACCCTAATACAGTTTGTATACTTCATAAATGTGGAATTTCATATATCAGTAGTGCTAAATGAAAGTATACCTTTATATATATTTTTTACTTCAGAAATATATTTGTTCCAGAAAAGTTACATGTAAGCTGACCTTTTAAGGACGTAGAAGTTCACATATATATTTTCTTAATTTTTAAAAGTTTTATTTTTAACTGACGAATAATTGTTTATCTACTTTCTTATTTTTTGTCTTTAATCAGCAGTGGCTATGCTCTCACTACTTCAAGTCTTTCTGTCCTTTATACTCTCTATCAAGTAACTAATGATGTGAGAATAAATGTTTAAATATCTTAGAGCTCTCCTATTATAGCCTGTGTTGATCTACATAAATATATAGGCATTCAATGCATATTTATTGATTTTCAAAACGATAAAAGAGAGTTTATTTTATATATGTACTGTGCCAGTAAAGTAAATCATGTTCCAAAAGTGCTAATGGTATATGTCTTAGTCCATTTGTGTTGCTGTAACGAAATACCACAGACTGGTTAATTTATGCACAATAGAAATGTATTCCTCACAGTTCTGAAGGCTGGAAAGTCCGAGATCAAGGCACTGGCATTTGATGTCTGGTGAGGGCCTTCTCACATGGCAGAAGGCAGAAGGGTAAAAAAGGGAATGGATGCTGTGTCCTTGCATGGCAAAAGAGTGGGAGAGAGAAAATCCACTTCTTCAACCTCTTTTATAAGGGCCTTAATTCCCTCCCAACAGTCCCATGTTTTATATTATCACATTGGCTAATAAGTTTCAACATATTAATTCGGGGTGCCATATCCACACCACAACAGCATAAAAGGTCACTGAGATTACTTTATTCTCCTGAAGTCTTGGGACTATTTACTTTCCCAATCAGTTTGCTCTTTTCCAGGTTAAAAACACCCTAGGTCAAGTCACACAGAACTTTTAAGGCTAAAGATTATACTACCTAGGGAGCGGTACATTCATATTACTTGCCCCTTTCTCTCAAGGACTCTTTTTTTTTTTTTTTTTTTTTTTTTTTTGAGACGGAGTCTCACTCTGTTGCCCAGGGTGGAATGCAATGGTGCAATCTCCACTCCTCCCAAGTTCAAATGATTCTCCTGCTTCAGTCTCTGTAGTAGCTGGAATTACAAGCACCTGCCATCATACCCAGCTAATTTTTGTTATTTGTCAAAGAGACGGGGTTTCACCAAGTTGGCCAGGCTGGTCTCAAACTCCTGACCTCAGGTTATCCGCCTGTCTCGGCCTCCCAAAATGTTTTGATTACAGGCATGAGCCACTGCGCCCAGCTCTCAAGGGCTTTCTACATGAGTATATCTTAAACAAAAAGTAGCTCAGGTGTCACTCACCTAGCCTACTGAATCCTTCCGGAAATTCTCCCTTAAGACTGCCATTAGCTGTAACTTCTGCTTTTTACCTAGCTATCACTTTACCTTAGGAATGAGGCCAACAAAAGGCAGGGTACAGGTGGGAGGGAGCAAAGCTGTACTGCCTTTATATAACCCTGATTCTAGAGTCTTGAAAACTATTTCCTAGGGTAACTGGTCTTTACAGAGTCCAGAAGGCTTGCATGGTACCTACAGTGCTCAGCAAATTTATTAAATGTCACCAAAATGCAGTTGGGGTAAAAAGAATCAGGTGTATTTGCTGACTCTTGATCTATGCTCTTGGGGTTATTTACATCTGTGCATTGTATTTACTGTATCCCCATGGTGGGATTACTACATAATGGTGTGCTGCTGCTTATCCTCAACTGCATTCAGAGAAATCATGTTGGTAGCCTGAAACTGGCTGAAGTGGGGGAATTTTTACCACAGAAATTAGCAAACTTCTGTGAGGTGCAAATTTTTCTGGAAAAGACCATGCACTAAATAGTCAAGGCCATTTTTGTTGCTGTTGTTGTTGTATTTGTTTTTTAAATTGACATTAGAGACAGGGTCTTACTGTGTTGCCCAGGCTGGTCTTGAACTCCTGGCATTAAGTGATACTCCCATCTCAGCTTCCCAAAGTGCTCAAATTATAGGCGTGAGCCACTACTCCTGGCCCTATACCAAAGCTCTTTGGAAGTCGTTTCAATTGATTGCTTCTGCAGGAACTTTTGACACTTTGTCAGGTCACTTATTCTATGAGTCTACTAGGGCTACAATAGCAAAGTACCACAGAATAGGCAGGTGAGACGACAGAAATTTATTTGCTCACAGTTCTGGAGGCTAGAAGTCTGAGATCAAGGTATCACTAGGGTTGTTCTCTTCTGAGGCCTCTGGTCTTGGCTTGTAGATGACTGTCTTCTTGTGTTACCACAGAGTCTTCCCCAAAACCTGTAAAAATTTCCTCTTCTTAAAAAGACACCAGTCATACTGGATTAGAGCCCACCCTAATGACCTCATTTTAACTTAAATGACTTTATAATTTTTATTTTTTTGAGACATAGTCTTGCTTTGTCATCCAGGCTGGAGTGCAGTGGTGTGATCTCAGCTCACTGCAACCTCTGCCTCCCAGGTTCAAGTGATCTTCCCACCTCAGCCTTCCATGTAGTTGAGATTACAGGCACATGCCACCACACACAGCCAATTTTTGTATTTTTAGTAGAGACGGGGTTTCACCACACTGGCCAGGCTGCTCTCAAACTCCCTGCCTCACGTGATTCGCCTGCCTCGGCCTCCCAAAGTACTGGGAATACAGGCATGAGCCACTGTGCCTAGCCTTAAATGTCTTTTTAAAGACCCTAGGTCTAAACACACCCACATTCTGGGGTACTGTGGGTAGGCACTTCAACACATACCTCTGGAGAGTGGAAACAATTCAGCCTGTAATACCCCATACTGAAAAATGCTGCAGGTCAATGTTTAACAATCAGCTGTCCAAAAAGAAAAAGGCCCGAATTGTAGCACTTGCTAACTTCTATGGTAAAATTCCCCCACTATAGCCAATTTCAAGCTACCAATATGATTCCTCTCAATGCAGTTGGGAAGAGATAAGCAGCACACACCATTATATAGTAAATCTACCATGGAGATACAATAGATACAAATAACCTCAATGCATAGATGTAAATAACCCCAATGGCATAGATTGGAAATCAGCAAACTTTCCAGCAAGCTCTTCTGGAAAAGACTAAGCAGTAAATATTTTCGAATTTGCTCAACACTGCATCGTAGTGAAAAAGGAGCCAGGCTGAGTGCAGTAGCTCATGCCTCTAATCCCAGCAATTTGGGAGGCCAAGGTGGGTGGACTGGTTGACCTCAAGAGTTTGAGACCATCCTCGGCAACATGGCAATACCCCATCTCTACAAAAAAATACAAAAATTAGTCGGGCGTGATGGCGTGTGCCTGTGGTCCCAGCTACTCGGGAAGCTGAGGTAGGAGGATTGCTTCAGCCCAGAAGGTCAAGAGTGTAGTGAGCCATAATGGCAGCACTGCACTCCAGCATGGGTGACAGAACAAGATCCTATCTGAGAAAGAAAAAAATAAAAAAAGGAGGCACAGATAATATGTAAATGAAAAAATAAAAAGAAGCTATAGGCAATATGTAAATGAACAGGTGTGAATGTGTACTGATAAAACCAGTTTTCAACTGGCCTTTGCCTAGTGACAAGAGTTGGGGATATCTAATGGGATAACTGCTCCGTCATCAGCTTTCAGCCAACCTGCCTTGTTTTGGCCTTACTCTCCTTCCCCATCAAATGCTTAGACTACTAGTTGAAGGCATCTCCTGAACCCTCTCAGGTTAGATCAGTGGGGCAGTCATAGGAGGTACACCACTAATATCTCCATTTTAGATAGAACTTGCCATTCAGCTGCAATGAATACCAGT